AAAAGAACAATAAAAACTACCAGAAACTAATACTGAGAGAAAGAGTAAGAAAAAGAAAATCGAAAAAAGAGAAAAACATAAAGATCAAAAGTGCAGAAAAGAAAAGAAAAAGAGAGAAACAACAAAAGGTTGATGTCAGGTTCAACCTAAGAAACTCCATGAGATGGTTCTGGATTTGCTTAGTTACTTTATTAGCTTACACCTGCTAGACAGAATCTCGCCAGACTAACTCTAACTCTCAAAGTCTGCAAGTAAACACTACCAATTCCTTAGGGTGGTGCCAGTCTCATCCTCTTTGCTTTCACATACTCAGGCTGTGGGCTGAGAAGATGCTTCTCCCCTTGACCTTGAACCTCCTCATCCAAGTCCTCCATCACAGTTATCATATATAAAAGCAAAGTTCCATGAGTTTTTCCCAACTCTTTATCCATCAAACTCAAAAAGAAGGTCTATTGAATTGAGTATTAATCTTTAAAATCTTCTGTATACAGATAGATATTTCATTCCAGATATTTTTTTTTTTTTTTTTTTTTTGCTTTTTTACAAATCCACCAGAGGTGATAAAATGTCCCTTCTTGTTGCTCACATTTCCATCATACATCTGAAGTACCTTTATACATTTTATATAGTTTTTCTGGCAACAAGTACCAACGATACATCATTTTATAGAAGTTCTCTTTAAGGTTATAACACAATGTAAATTTCAGTCCTTTCTGCCACATATTTTCCCATTGTTCCATCTGTACGTTGTAGCCAAATTTTTTAGCCCATTTTATCATACAGTCCTTAACTTGTTCATCTTCTGTCTCTAGTTTCAGTACAAGTGTATACATCTTTGCAATAATATATTCATCATTAGTACATAATTCTGCTTCAGATTCAGTCTTACCATAATCAAAACCATCAGTCCTTTAATCTATTTTAAATCTTTCTTGTAATTGTACATAAGAAAACCATTGACAAATATATCCTTCTGATATCAATTTCTCTCTTGTCTTTAATTTAAAGTCCCTTTAAGAAAATTCTAGTACGTCACGATAAGTTAACCATTTTTTAGTTATAATTTCTCTTCTATAAAAACCTACTTGTGGGGACAACCATAAAAAAACCTTCAGAGACAATGTAGATTTATATCTGTCCCATATTCTCAAGATGTCATGTCTAATAAAATGATTTTTAAAATCTACATTAACTTTTACTTTGTCATAATATAAATAGCCATGCCACCCAAATATTAAGTCATGTCCCCCTAGTTCCAATAACCTCCTATTTCTCAAAATCATCCACTCTTTCATCCAAACCAAACAACAAGCTTGAATAAACAACAAGCTTTGAAGTACACCTTCAAATCTGGGAGACCTAAACCTCCTCTTTCTTTAGCATCTTGTAAAACTTTATACTTAATTCATGGTTTTTTACCTTGCCACACAAATGTAGATATATCTTTATGCCATTGTTTAAATGGAACATCAGTTGTCATAACAGGTATTGTTTGAAACAAAAATAACATTCTAGATAAAACATTCATTTTAATTATTGAAATTCTTCCCAACAATAATTGTAATTTGTTTAAATGGAACATCAGTTGTCATAACAGGTATTGTTTGAAACAAAAATAACATTCTAGATAAAACATTCATTTTAATTATTGAAATTCTTCCCAACAATAATTGTAATTTGTTTAAATGGAACATCAGTTGTCATAACAGGTATTGTTTGAAACAAAAATAACATTCTAGATAAAACATTCATTTTAATTATTGAAATTCTTCCCAACAATAATTGTAATTTTTCCCATCTTAACATACCCTTTTTTAATTTCATTCCAAGTCTTAACATAATTATTTTGAAGCAACATACAGTTACTATTTGTCAAGTTCACCCCCAAATATTTTCTTTGTTTCCACCTTAAACTTGTTTTGTTCATCAGTTCTTCTTGTTCTTGTATCCTCATACTTTTCATTAACATTTTAGTCTTTTGTTTATTAATTTTAAAACCAGCCAAAGTACCAAATTCTTTCAACTTTTTCATTAAAGCTTCAATCCCCTTTAAGGGGTCCTCCAACGCCAACACCAACACCAAATCATCCACAAAGGCCCTCAACTTATATGTCTCTTTCTTGATTTTTATGCCCCTTATCTTCTTATCTCTCCTTATATCTCTATTCAAAACTTCCAAAACTAAAATAACCAACAAGGGAGACAGTGGGCAACCTTGTCTCATTCCCTTTTGTATCTCACATGATTTAGTTAAGTCTCCATTCACAATAATTTGTGGTTTCTGTGATCTATAAATTGATTTCACTCCTTTTATAAAATTCTCTCCAAAGTTCAAATCTTCCAAAACTTTAACCATAAAAGGCTAATTTGAATTGTCAAAAGCTTTTTCTGCTTCCAAAAAGATGAATGCAGTTTGTTTTTCATTATGCTGTTCCAAATATTCTATAATATCCAGCATCATTCTAACATTATCTCTTAATTGTCTTTTAGGTAAAAATCCACACTGATCTTCATAAATATATTCTTGTAATATAACCTTCAATCTGTTAGCTAAAATCATTGTGAACAGCTCATAGTCACTATTCAATAATGATAAGGAATGAGAATATTTTTCAAAGAAAGAGCTGGATGGCATGGCTTCAGACACAGAAATTTTGAAAGAGAAATGGGTAATTTGGTATGAAATAATGTTCAAAGAAAAGATATCCCCACTGCCATAGCAATGCACTGCATAGTAACTTTTTGAATCTCAGACATTGTGTATGTACAAATAGCACTTAACCCCAGACCTTTGTACTCATGGTTTTTACACAACTTGAACTATAAGGGCAGAACTAATGTTACAGTGGATATATGTGGGCAGTTGGCTCAAGATACTGTCTTTAATGAAAAGCTGCCATGGGAAGATGCCATTCTCAGAAAAATAAACTCAAAGAAGATAATGTGCCTTAACCCCTCCCATTCCAGCCATTTTTTCACACAGTTTCCTCCAGCTCATTTTTTTTACCTGAAGGCAAAATATATTGAATCATTCAGTTATGCATTAGAATATTGTCCTGTTTGTTCAGCAGGGACATGATGAACAATTCAGCTAATTATAGATGATGACACCAGTACAGTGTACAACAATGATTTGGATCACTGTTGTGAAACCTGATTATTTGTGCTTAAGAAACAGGCAGAAATGTTCATGGAATTAGTGACAGTTTTCCCATTCAGCCCTGAATGGTATCAAGCCCAGTCTGGAGTATTATATGAAATTTAACAGCTTTGGCCTTGTAGAGGCAGAAGAGGAAAATCTGTATAATGTTATCACAGATAAAAGCAGATACTTCAATCAGATTGGCTCCCTGTATCTGCAAGAAATCTAAACTTAAAGCTGAGCTAGTAAAACCAGCTAGTACGGCTGGTTTAAATTATAGCAAGTAATTAGGCTGAAGACAAAATCAGTGGTTGCATTTTATAATTACAATTAATTTAAAGGTTAATTTCCTTGGGTACTAAAATCTTATTTAAAACATTTACCAGGAAAGGAAATTAGGATGTTACTATCAAGATGCATGGAGTGCCTTTGGGAATCCATGCCTATTATCAGTAAAAAATTGGGTTAGGCTCAAAGTGGGAGTTCCAATTCATTTTAGCATATTATAAATGGCTTTGAGTTGAAGGATTTTGGTTCGGGAAGATGGTAGGATTTGCATTTCTTTTGTTTGAGGTATTAATTGCAAATATTTTGAACAAAAGGTCTGAATTTATATGTGAACAAGCACAACATGAAAAGAAAATTGGTTATGGATTGCTGCCTTTCCAACTAATAAAGCTGATGTTAAGAAAATTGCTAAGAGAATAGTTGTGCAATCAAAAACAATTAATAAATGGAATTGCACTGTGAAAGTGGTGCTGTCAATGGGCTTCCTATATATTAATTTATCTTCTCCTCTTTCCTGAACATTTACTTGGCCTTTCTTTTCTGAACAATAGTTACCACCTCCTCAAGGAATAGTTGAAACATATATTTGTAATGAAAGAGCTTTAAAGGAAGTAATGTTTCCATTTAGTATCACATCATTGTCCTAAGATTCTGTTCAATAGATATCCAATACTGTTAAATAACAATAACAGTTTAATATTCTACCCAATCACAGTATAATAAATGGATTGGGACCACCATGAATTTTATTCAGTCTTTTTCTCTTAATCTGTTATATAGTCTTGTTATATGGAAGAATTATAAACATAATATTTTAAAAACACATATACAGATATGAATCTGATGTCAGTTGAACTGATGGCTACAAATGAAATAAGCCATTAGAATCCTTCTTGAAAGAATATACCTCACAACCAACATTGGGAAAATAAAATTTGTATATTCTGCCAATCTTTGAATAATAACCTTGAAAAGTAGTGATTATAGAAACTGGGAGACTTTCATTTTTAGCTGCCTAACTTGCCTTCAATTCTGCTGCTACTCCTCATATAGTTTCTTGAACTGGTTCAGTCAGAATCTTAACCAAAGCAGACCATGGTTTAAAGAAAGGAAACTATCTGGATTTATGAACTAGGAGTTAGAATCACCCTAAATTATATGTGTTGGATCATGGTTGAGGAAGACAAAAAGAATTCACATGCAAGGATAAAGAGATTTGGGGACAGGGGAAGAGAATGATGCACTCCTGATTTTTAAACCATGGCTTGATTCATGTTACATTATAACAACCTATGGTGGCATAATTATGATTCAAATCCAGTGGGAAAGATAAACCATATCCAGAGGGTCCCCAAAGTTATGCATCTATCCACTGCATGTTGCTTTATTTCTCACACTTTTCATCCACTAGCATTTTGACAACTTAACAGGCTAATACTGTTTAGAAGCTTCTAAAGTAGTATCCAGTGCACTATTAATTATTTTTTTAAAAATACATTACCTAATAAAGAAAATCACATCTCTATTTTCTCAAACTCTCACCTGAGTTTTGGCCTGCTAAAATTTACAGCTGAATACCCGGTGATGGGAGGAAGATTGGCCTACTGGCTCCCTGGAGCAAACCAGAGTATGTATTTCTTTATCATTATGAATGTTTTGCTTCGAGTCTCCTTTGAATTGGTTTGTGGGAACTCTTACAGGGTGGGGTTTTGGCTTTGTTTTTGTTTTGTGGCATGAGATCACTTCTGAGATCTGCTTTCCTATGGCCCTTCGAGTTCTTCACATGCATCGTAAAACATTCTTATTCAGAGTGCTTTAAAAGAATTTGGGTTTTGTTGTTTTAGAAATTTTGCCTGCAGTTATGTTTATATGAATGAATTAATAAAAGAGTGAATGAATGAATGCATATTGTTTGACTTAGAAAAAGCATGTGATAAAATGAATAGCTTGAATTATGAACATTTTGCACAAATGTTGAATGTTGGCTGCTGAATGAAATCAGAGAGATATGTTATGGAAGTAAAAATGTATGAGAATAAATTAAACGGTTAGTGAATGGTTCGACACTGAGCAAGGAATGAAATTAGGATGTTTTATGTCCCCTTGGGTGTTTAATGTATTTATGGAGGAATGTATTAGGAACATTTTTGATGATGTTAGAGGTGTGTCAATTGGGGATGTAAATATATGTTGTACACAGATGGTACAATACTTCTGGCTAAATGAATGTTAGATAAATTATGTGATGCAATCAGGATTATAGATCTAAAAATTAATGTATCAAGACCAAGGTAGTTGTGTGCAATTGGGAAAATGGAATGAATTATTATAAGTTATTCATAAATCAAAACAGGTAGATGAATTTTGTACATTCATAGAATGTTTACTAAAGGTGGGAAACGAGATAGAGAAATGTTAAGATATGCAAATACTGGGGAAAAAAGTAGTTGGTTGTATCTGTTGTGGGAATGAACATTTGTAAAATATTCCCATCTGTTGTGGGAATGAACATTTGTAAAAAGTAACTGGTTTCTGCCCACTTTGTTATATTAAAGTGGGAATTAGATGAGTACGGTAATACAGTAGGAATGTGATACTTGGAAAGTGTATGTGATAACACAAGAAGAGATAGGGTCAAGAATGAGTGGGAGCTGAATGAATGTAGGTTGAATATAAATGTGAGTAATCAATATGAACAAAGTACATTGCAGAAAATGAAGATTAAATCACAGAACAAATACGTATATGAAAGAGCAGTTAATGGGTTGAGAGGAAGAAGAAGACTGAGAAAGTCATGGTTTGATAGTTGAGGAAATCCATAAAAAAAGAGAGGTGAAAAGTTTAAACCAGGGTTTCTCAACCTTGGTAACTTTAAGACAGGTGGACTTCAACTCCCAGAATTCCCCAGCCAGCCTTGCTGGCTGGGGAATTCTGGGAGTTGAAGTCCACCCGTCTTAAAGTTGCCAAGGTTGAAGAACCCTGGTTTAAAGAATACAACCAACTACTATACAACCAACTACTCTCCCAGAATTCCCCAGCCAGCCAGGCTGGCTGGGGAATTCTGGGAGTTGAAGTCCACCCGTCTTAAAGTTGCCAAGGTTGAAGAACCCTGGTTTAAAGAACGAAAGACTATATATGAAGCAATATATAGACACAGTGGAAGAAAGGATATTTTCCAAGGTATGGAGAGGTACTGTGAATTATGTAGATAGTAACTAGATTTAGCTATGTTTTCTTCTTTTATCTCATGTCTTTACTTTGTTTAGTTTACTATTGCTTACTTCTTTCCTTCACCTTACAAAATGTTTCTTACTTTGAAAAGGAATATCGTGATGTGTGTGTATGTAGTTAAGTTTATACAAAGTGTTTTTAATCACAGAATGTTTGGCACTTTAGTTTGACGCTTTTAATAACAGTGTGGTGTCACATTGTACTGACTCCAAGAAAACTCAGGTACATGTCCATCATCAGCTATAGAAAATCAGTGGTGTCTTTGGGCTAGTCACTGCTCTAAGCCAAATTACCTCATACCCTACAGCAGTGTTTCTCAACCTTGACAATTTGAGGATGTGTGGCTTCGACTCCCAGAATTCCCCAGTCAGCTGCTGACTGAGGAATTCTGGAAGTTGAAGTCCATACGTCTTCAAGTTGCCAAGTTTGAAGAACACTGCCCTACAGTGTTTTATGAGGATAAAATGATTCCTTATATGCTCCTTGACCTCCTGGAGAAAATCTTAGATAAATCTATTACTATACTATACTATACTATACTATACTATACTATACTATACTATACTACAGGGTTCCTCAACCTCAGCAACTTTAAGTTGG